TATAGAACATACATCACAAGATTTTGAATATATATACATCACAAGATATTGCTGCACATACATCACAAGATTTTGAATATACCTCACAAGATTTGAACATACATCACAAGATTTTGAACATACATCACAAGATTTTGAATATACATCACAAGATTTTGAACATACATCACAAGATTTTGAATATACAGCACAAGATTATCGAATAAAGCAACGTTAAACACGCCATGTATATATATATATATATATATATATATATATATATATATATATATATATATATATATGTGTGTGTGTGTGTGTGTGTGTGTGTGTGTGTGTATTTGCTTTTGTTTTCGATATAATTACGCATTGAATTAACCAGCTTTGAGTGTACATGAGAAGTTGTTTTCACTTTCTCGGATTAAAACATCAAACAGGATAAAATGAACGGGGATTATAGCAGGTTAAATTTCATATTCTGAAAACTAGCACTGTGTGAAGGTTTCCAAAGGACATAGGTCAATACATGGTCAAAGCTGCTGTATGTATATGAGATAATTTTATCACCTGTAAGTTTGCCATATAAACAAATTTACCGAGTGTATTGCATAATGTTAAAAATGGCCCAGTGGTTCTGGAGAAGAGGATGAAATTGTAAAAAGTTAACGACGCTGACGACAACATCGACCACAGACAACGGACAAATTTTGATCCGAAAAGCTCGGTTGAGACTTCGGTTTAGGTGAGCTAAAAAGTTGAAATCACGTTTATCATAAAGCTTAGCTGTAAGTGATGTGTCAGACTCTAGGGTGACTTTTATTTCGAGTTTAAAAGGATATATCGAATCAACGTAGAAATAAAATAAATATGATTGTTAAAACGTCTTCGATATATCTAAGTGTCAAATTGAAGGCCACATCAAGAAACATCTTTTCTTCATGTAAAAGTTTTTGAATAGATTCCACTTCATATGAATACAAATTTAATACACTGTGATATTAACTTTGGAGTACTTATCTGTAAAATCAGAATGTTGATATTAAGGCGAACCTATTGAACCAATAAGAACCAAAATGGTCCAAGGCAGATTATCGCCAAGATGAAAAAAGTCGACCTAAAGTTCAGGTTAATCAAAAACTGGGAGAAATTCAAAAACCATCCCGATACCAAAAATATTTCGGTAAACGAGGACCCTACAAAACATGTTTGTTGCGAGGCAGCTCAGCCGTAAACACTATATCAAACAAGTCTGGTCCTCAAACGGGAAGATCCGTATCCGCGATTTAAATGACAAAGTGTTCGTAATCCAACAAGAGTCGGATCTTACTCCATTTGGTCATACCATGTAAATCATTAACTCTGATCTGTGACATTTTTGTTCCATTCGAACACTCCTTTGTATGTAATGTAAACAAAAATATATAAGGTACACATCTTTCCAAGTCAATTCACGCTAGTTTCCCATTCACCTCAACAATTTGCACTACTTCCATTATGCTTGTTCTTATGATTCCCTGTATATACATGTATACTCTTTGTTTTTCTGTTTGGTTTATCTCAGACTTTGTTTTTTACAACCCATTTATAAGATGCCTACAAATCGCTTGCTATTTAGCTGATTCCACATACCCGTGTTTTTGGTTATATTCTTGCTCATATAGTGTTTACCCTGGCTCTCTCATTTTTTTTGTCGAGGTGTGACTTAAGATATGGGTATTGAAATAGAACAATATCGAGCCAGGTTACTATTTAAAAGCTACACGTTTAATCTTGCACTTAAGTGTGTTTGAAATTATTTGTAAGAACTTGATATTAAGGAGTTCCAATTACCATGTTGATCATCTTACTTTCCGATCCTAACGAGTATTGTAAAATTTGTTTTAAAAAATCGTACTCATAAGTATTTTGCGCCATTCTCGATGCCTTCATATGCCTATATCTCTAAAAATATTAACTTGCTTACCAACTTGTCAGCACTAACTCTAAAATTGTCAGGAGATATTGAATCAAATCCTGGTCCTTCAATAAACACAAGTGAAGGCTGTTTTGCTTCATCTTACTCATCTTCATCAATTTTTGACGATACAAGCGGAATGTCATTTGTACATTTAAATGTTCAAAGCTTAAAGCCCAAGCTAGACATTTTAGAAAGCGAACTCCATAATCACAGTATACTGTCATTTACTGAAACATGGTTAAACAACGATGAATCGTTTTCGGACATTTCGTTAAAAAATGATTTCCAAACACCATTTTGTTACTGTAGAAAAAAACAAAATAGGCGGGGGCGTAGCCGTGTATGCCAAAGATCACATACTTGCAAAACGTCGATCGGATTTAGAACCTGTCAGGGTTGAATGTGTCTGGCTTGAAATGGTTATTCGTGGACAAATCTATTTAAACGGTACATTTTATCGTCCCCCAAACTCACCTTCAAGTATATGGGATGACATTGAATTCTCCATAGATCAAGCTTACAATACTAATATATAAGCAAAATAATTATCGTTGGGGATTTTAATGCCAATCTACTTTCACCAAACACGCAAGCCGATCATTTATTAAACATTATACAGACTTAAAACATGTTTCAAATTATTGAAGAACCTACTTCATTGAGCATTCGTCGTCACTTCTTGATATTATATACTCGTAAGTAACACCTCACTTGTGGTGAGGTCCTCTGTTGGTGATTGTTTCTTAGACCAATATGTTCGATTTCATTGTCCTACTTACGGTCTCCTCAGTCAACCCCTTCTAGAATCTCACTGTTTCAAACGGAAAATATGGCTATTTGATATTGGTGAATACACTTCCTACAGACAAAATTTAGCAAACGTAAACTGGGACGATTTACTTATTGAATCCGACATAGGCAACAGTGTTTCTAATTTAAATGAAATCATAGTTGAATGCGCACAAATGTCAATTCCCAATAAAACAGTGATCATTTGGCAATCTGACCCACCATGGTTTAACAACACTTTAAGAAAACTTATTCAAAAAAGACGTCGTCTCCATGAAAAAGCTAAACGGACGAAGAGAGATAATGACTGGGAAAACTATAGAAGTACTTGTAATCGGCCTTGTCCGAAAACTCAGAGAAGAGTACTACAGTAAGCTTTCATCTGAAATTAACGTGTGCAATGATTCTAAAAAATGGTGGAAAATAGGTAAGTTAATAAATTTAAAATCCAAACAACCTTTTACAAATACTCCTCTTACTTTCGAAGATAAAACATATGAAGATGACAATGAAAAAGCCGAATTACTAAATACCTTTTACCTAAAAGATTCATCAATTGATGATCATTCAACCAGATTACCAAATACAGATTCCTCTACTAATTACGAAACACTCTTTGACTTAACTCTTGATGCAACTGAAATCGAAACAGTTCTTCTTTCATTAGATTCTTTCAAAGCTACAGGCCCAGATCTCACTAATCCCCGTCTTCTTAAAGAGGCAGCTTCTATATTAAAATTACCATTATGTAAACTCTTCTATATGTCTCTTAAAAAGCAGTATTTCCAATGGAATGGAAAAGAGCAAACGTTACCCCAATATATAAGAAAGGGGACAGGAATGATGTTTCTAATTATAGACCTATATCACTTATCTCCATAACTGGACAGGTAATGGAAAGATGTATCTACAATCGTGTATATCTATACTTATCCAACAATAATTTCTTTCGTTCAAACCAGTCAGGTTTTATTCCAGGTGACTCTACAATAAAGCAATTACTCGATATATCTAATGACATAGGTAAAGCACTAGATTCCGGAAAAGAAGTAAGAGCTGTTTTCTGTGATATAAGTTAAGCCTTTGACAGGGTATGACATGATGATTGATTGATTATTGTTGTTTTACGCCGAGTCGGCAATATTTCAGCCATATTTCGGCGGTATGAATTAAATACTGTATGAACGGTTTTGAGAGTTTTGGGTTTCTCTGGGTATGACATGAGGGTCTCCTGTTCAAACTAAGAACTGCGGGGATAAATGGGAATTTGCTTAATTAAATGGTTTAAAAGTTATCTTACAAATAGAGAGCAAAGAGAAGTACTCAACTCCACCTCTTCAACCTGGGGTAGCATCAAAGCTGATGTACCCGAGGGATCTATTCTTGGTCCTCTGTTATTTCTCATTTACATAAATGATATTGTATGTGGAATTAATTGTGTAATTAAATTGTTTGCAGACGACACAGCCCTGTATATAGTAGTTGATAATGCTTCCACAGCCAGTCAGATATTACACAATGACCTTGATAAGATAGGTGCGTGGGCTAAGCAGTGGTTGGTCGATTTCAACCCCTCAAAAATCGAATGTTTATTATTTAGCAATAAACGCGTCCCCATCACACATCCCCCGCTTTATCTGAATAGCCAAATAATCGAAAATATGGAAAGTCATAAACACCTTGGAATACATTTTTCAAATCAAAATACTGAAAGTACTGATACATGTACGAGTTGATGGTTGTCCAAGCTTGCCTAATGTATTGCTTTAGTGATGAAAATTGAAATGTCTATTTAGAAACAGAAATTTAAATTTTCATTTGATTTTTTATGAATATCATGACATGATGCATTGTATTTTAAAATCCAATTAACAAATAATCCTTTGTGATATTATAAGAAAACAATATTTCTTTCTTTTTACAGTATAATTATACAAGTTATACATTTATTGAGCATTGCTGCCTTATTTAAAAAAATGAAATGCACTTGCACAACTTTCATAAAGTGTATTAAAACCACAATTTTTGACATTTCTTAGTGTGTATGCAGCAAGTATTCCTTTTACAATTTTTAATGATCAATTACTAGTATTATACCTTGTATAAAAAACGTCAATTTTTAAAACATTATTCTGGTCTTCCAGTTTGAAGTGTAGTAAGCCAATAAACAGTACAAGAGAATGAATTTTTAGAAAGTCAATGTCAATTTTTTTTGTCCTTAAATATTTCATAATTGACACAAGCATTTCAAATATAGAAAGCAAAAACAAAAATGTTATCTTAATAAAAGAAGTTTTATACAGCATTCAGGTTTCAGATTTACAAATAAATGCTACACTAATGAAGGAAATGATACAATCATGAAACACAAGGTCAAACTAATGTAATCAACACAACTGTTGCAGATTTTAAAGTCCTGTGACATTGACACATTATGAGAGTCATTTTCTTTCAAAAGAAGATATTAAATAAATTTTTACCAAAGAATATTTATATAAGGGAAAAGTCCTTATTATAAGGATGAACATTCTTCACTTCACATTTGAAATCAAGGGGTGGTTGTCCTCCAACATACAAAACACTGACAGCTGAATTCTTCAATACATCTATGTTTGAAATTCCAGTACTTCAACAAAAGGTTTACACATATCTTCCCAGGCACAAAGCAATGACCATCTCTTTTGCACTGCCATTTGTGGTTTATGCTTCTGCAAAAGTAAAATCAAGGGTTTGAGAGGCACAAAGCATTGTATATATTTACAAATATTAAATAGATATTAAATATTTGATTGAGTTTAAAGTGACACCGTGACGGAAAAACATGAAAATCGACAAAAGTAGAATTAATGCATGACAAATGCAAATTTTGTTCAGTTCTTGAAAGAAAAAGTTTTCAGAAAATTACAGGTTTCAGAACCTAAAAAATCTACTTTAATGGAGAAAAATAAAAGTAAAAAAAATCTTTGTATAACCCAACACAAAAATATATGCTTCACTTCGTCCTTTTTATAGTACGCATGCGCTGAAAAGTTCAAAAATTTACCATGGTTTCAATTCCATAGATATAAATGTCGGATGACCGAGAATTTTTATACAATCTTCAAAAAAAAAAAATGATCAGAACTATTCTCTCACTTCTGCTTGCTCCAATTTAATGTTGTTTACAAGTTTCACGCTAAGAATAAAGGACGCGTGACCTTGACATTGTGGACATTGACGATAAAAACAAAGCGATAGAAACAACATTTGTTTTTCCGGCACTTACATTTTGCAGTTTTTTTTTCTTGCTATACAGTGCAGTTGAGTTGCCAAAACTTCGCTATATTCATATTTCACATAAATCGTTTGTTCTGTGATACAACTTCCTTAAAAAGAAACACAGGATTTCGACTCATTATGTAACTTTAATTTTCTCATTTTCCAGGATTTTTGGAATCCCCTCTTGTTTAGAAATTTCAGAAATGTTTCTTTTTTCTATGCTTTGCTCACATTTAAAAACTAGACAAAATACAATTATTTAGCTCTTAAATTAAATTCTCAATTTCTCAGCCAGTCTGGACAAAACTTGTCAACATTTAATGATAGGTATTTTTTTTTTTAAGAAAGCCTCTTTTTTTTCAAGTAAGCATTTTGCATAGACAAATATTAATTAATTTACTTTAAAATGTATACAAAGTTTCTAATCATTTTAAATCATTTGTTACCTATATATTATGTATACATAAATAATTGTTTTACCAAAATGAACCAAACACTTTAAATTTGAAACTAATTCTAATAGAAAATTGAGTTATTTCTCATTTCAATATGATACTAACATTTAATACTGTGGTATAGACCATGTGGCAGTGCCTCTTTGTGTGTTAGTGATAAGATTAATTAATGTAAATATGTTGCTATTTAGAAAATAAATAAATAAAATGTTTCTTTTTCAATATATACTTTGTTGTTTTTATATTATTTTTAAACAATGTTCTCCAAAGTAAAAAGATGATAACATAAAACTACAAGTATCTTTTTTATGAGATTTACATTAATGATTTTTTTTATGTTCGAGAATCTTATGTCTTGTGATTAATGTACATGTGTATATACAGCAGATCGAATTGTTTCAAAATTAATTGATTAATGATATAGATTCAAAGAGGCGCAAGTTTCAGTTGTACAATATGTTTATTTAATGACGTACAAAATGGATTGGAATATTACTATGGGTAATTTGTAAACAGAGCTGACTTTGCTCAGTGCCGTTCTTATCAGCTACACTGACAGTGATGGAGATAAGTTTCGCCTATTTTACCAGGGTAAGTCAACCCCAGCTTTAATACATGTAGTAAGAGTCGTGCTTTTTAAATAAACAAATAGCTTTTTGAATTAATAGACTCTGTATAGTCTTGAAGAGAAAATTTTGTACAAAGCCGAGCCATTAGCAGTGAGGAGAAGATGGCGCTATTATTAACATGCAACGCGTATACTCGATCAGTATGACTATCGATAAACTCACAGCTGACTTAGCTTAATTATCTATCAGAATTACATATAACTATGCATAAATGTAATTACCTTGATGTGTCTCCTTTATCTCTCCAAGTATGCTTCAATTTAAGTCATTTTCTTTTGAAGTAACGCTGTCGATTTTTCGTGCCAATGTGCATTCATTGTTATTTACAAATAAAACAGCTTGGTGCGTAGGAAGATGAAAAGTAGTTCAGTCTATTTGCAGATTTTAATCTCAAACCTTTTTCTTCAGCATTTTAAGTGATTCATTTAATAAATCATATCTTTGGAAAAAAAATTAAATTTAAAAAAAAAATTGACTCCGCACATATGCATATAGAGGAATATGAGAAGTGACGAAATACACTTTTGTTCTTCAGCGGTTTAAAGTGCACTATATTTTTTGTCGGACCGACACAATAAAGAAATTCGATAAAAATTATATTGTGTATACCTAATATGAATTTGCTTTTTTTAAAAGAAACGGTATAATGTGTAGAAAAAATATGTTCGTTTTCATTTATGTTGAATTTTTCAAACTCAAAGGTAAATTATTGTAGAAAGAACTAAATAAATGAGATGTGTTCTTTGGTTGCAATGCAGGTAAACCTGAGTAAAAGCGTAACTGAGTTGATGTTCCATCAACTCGTTAAAATGGCCATTGGGATTTGCACATACAATCATCCCTTCTGAAAGCATCTCAACGTCTTCATCTACTAAGAAAACTTAAATTTCTTATTGATAGAAAATCGCTTGAAAAATTGTATTTTTCTTACGTTAGACCGCTTTTCGAATATGGTGACGTAATATGGGATAATATGTTTAGTGGTCTTGTCAATAAAATCGAACATATCAGTATTGAGGCCGCTCGCATAGTAACCGGCTCTACGAAACTTGTAAGTCTTCATAGTCTTTATCAGGAGACTGGTTGGGAATCTTTAAAGATAGATATAAATATAAAATTATACAGTTTCACAAAATGGTCTACGGCCAAACTCCCCAATACTTTTCGGATCTAGTTCCACCGCAAAATCAAGATATACACAATCTTTTCACGAGACAAACGTGTAACATAAAGCAAGACAAATGTAGAACTGATCACTATAGTAACTCTTTCATCCCATCAACCATCGAACTTTGGAACGAACTACCTGATTCTATTAAACAAAACCCTTCGTTATCAAATTTAAAACGCTATTTAAATGTCAACAATGCAAATCGTAAACCTCCTCAATATTATTATACTGGTACACGTAAGGAACAGATATTACACACAAGACTACAACTTGATTGTAGCTCACTAAAAAGTCATTTATTTTCTCGAAATATTGTCAGTAGCCCAAACTGTAATTGTGGCGAGATTGAAACTTCTGAACATTTCCTCCTACATTGTCCTTATTTTGAAAATCTAAGAGATAGATTTATTTACACACTTCCACATTACATCAACACCAATATATTATTATTTGGTGACCAAAATCTTCCATTGGCAGAAAATGTTGCGATCTTTAATTCTGTCCAAAAATATATTGTAGCAACCAAGAGATTTATATAATCAGTTTTCCCTTAGTATTGAAGCAAAACTGAAATCAAGATCAATTATCCCTTCGTTTCTCGGTAGTTACATTGTGATGACTTCCTGTTTCTTTGTTCCCTTCGGTTCTCAGCAGGTCACGTGACCTGAAGTGTGTATATATACGGAGACAGTCGGGTTGCTTGAGGCAGTCTGTTGCTGACGACTGGCTTGTAAAGACGGTCTAGAACAGAAGAGCTGAACGTGGTAGGTATTGCAAGGGAATCCTTGAATAAAGTCTTACGTGCCTGAATCAGGCTTTCAGGACTTTGGTTGGTTATATATATTTATATAAAGTACCTTTATACATTTGTTTGACTGAAGGCAAGAAGCGAATGCGCTTCAGTCCTTGGAAGGCGCGTGCGCTCCCGAGAAACGAGAGGGATAGTGTACATATTTCTAATTTAAATTTGTAATTGAGAAAATTGATTAATTCTTAAATTGTTCAGATAGAACAACCGAATCCCATAAAAGAACCTGGAAACGTTACAGTATCTTATTCACTACTCCCTCTCCCATGGGTATGTTCTTGTGTATATTCTCTTAAAGGCCGAGGTTTTCAACCGGTCGGTTTTCCTCAGGTAAGTTTAGTGCAGGGCGGGGCTAATTTTCAGCAGGTGTGAAGCCCCGAGAGAAGACGTGCTAGCTTGTGTATACATTTCCAAATACACCGGATGTTACCTGTATTACGTGTATTACCTGGATTTATAATTTCAGCACACTTATTTTCCTTGTGCAATTGAATCGAAATTTTAATCGTTTATTTAATTGATCAAACAATAAATTTATTTTGTAAATGAGGACGTTAGCCATTGAAGAATTATGCAGTTTTTTTTATTTACTGCATAATTTTCCAATGTTTCCAGCTCTAGCCACGGGGAGGCCTCCTCAATGTAGAGCCACTTTTTTAAATTTTATTTTTTCCTTTTTTTTTTGTTTTGTTTTGTTTTTCTTTTTTTTGGATTTTCTTTTTTTTTTCTTTTTTTGTTTGTTTGTTTGTTTGTTTGTTTTTTTTTTTGGTTTCTTTCATATATAGAACAGAATTCGAACAATACATGACGTTAATACATATACACTGTACATGAACAAAGCTAACAACGAGAGTCAAAGTTTAACCCATTTACACGAGATCTTGGATAAATCTTCTCCAAATCCTTTCCCGGTAAGAATATGTCCTCGGACCCAAGGTTCGTTTTGTTCGTCCTGTAATAGACTGGTAAATTGATGTGGCCTGACGATCAACGTTCTCATTCCAGTGACAAATCGCGAGCGATGTCCGCATCTTGTAGGCCTCGTCACCGAAATGAATCCTCTTGTCCAAAAAAATGTTCAGAACATTGTTGAAGGATTCAACATAAAATGTGTCCATAGCAAAAACAAAGTCATCCGGACACTTGTACACCACCGTCTTCTGTATGGCCGTCCTTAGAAGTTCCTCAGCTCTAGGGTCTCTGATCAACAGCTTACTTGGCTCGTAATTTGGGTCTTGTCGGCACCTACTTTCCTCGGAACAACTCCCATGCATGTTTTTGTAATGATTCACTACATTGTCCAATTTCTGCCTTAAAATCTGAGGATCGTTATTACAATTCCCAATGGCGTACTGGACATGCACACGGACAGAATGTACTTTGTCTGATAGTTCCTCGTGCCACGTCTGCCTGTGTTGTCTTTTAGGTCCCTTCCCCACAATATTGATGGCCCTTTCCACAGACTTCGCCGCATGCCAGGTATCGTTCTGGTTCAGAGTGTCCGGTCGTTCATATCTGATATATTTATTAACCGATGCGTTTCTGTCGTGTGCATGAATATGCACTCTGACGGGTCCGCCAATGGAAGGAATGTCACTGTCGAAATAGTCATACAAGCGCTTTGTGCCGAGGAGTTCGTGTCTCTGGGTGCACTGGTCGTCTGTCTTTGTTACATGTTCTTCTCTGATTACTTTGTGAGTGGAACTTCCAATGCACACCACGTTAGTATCCTTGGCATTACGGCGACATCCGTGCCTAGCGTCGGTAAGGATGCTAATGGTGCCGTCTTCTTCTTCTGACAATGCTATTTCTTCCCGGAGTGCGTTGTCACATGAAATGTCCTTTTCATCACGCACAGCTTCTGCATATTGGGAAAACAAATCCTTTTCGTCTTGTAGCTGCTGTGGATAGAAGCCCAAGCCATTCTGGAGACGCTCGATCTGGTTTGGTAGTAAGCCGGTGCTAATAGTAGCATGCATCCAGCGTGCGTTGGTAAGAAATGTTCCATTTGGTAAGTATGGGGAGCTGGTCCATGAAATATTATGTCCACACGCACACTGTAAACTATAAAGTGCCACAGTCCCGACCATGAAGGTCCTATCATGGCGACATGTAAGTCTTTCTCTGCACTGTTCACCATGCTGATACACCGAGTCCAGTAGATTTACCAGGGAACTTCCAGTAGATATGAAATAACTCGGACCCCCGTCGTCATCTGGAATCTGAGGAGCTGAAGTTGCAGGTGTAGAATCGCAGCCTTCACTAAGGATAAGCGCATCCAGTGCTCTGGTTATGACGTCCGAATTATTCACACGTTCTTTTCTTTCCCGATAAATGTCCTTTATAATCTTTATCGTCTCACGGATGCTGTTATTCACAGAATCGTCACCAGGAAATTCCAGTTTGAATGAATTTGCACGCTTACGGGCACTTCCTGGGGTTCTCGGTGTCTTTGGAGTAGATGGTAAATCCATGATTGAAATGAATTTCACTCTGAAATAAGGTAACGTCTGTCCTCAATGAAATGTATAGAACAAATGGGTTTGGCAGCTGGGTACTAGTATACAGCAAAAGCGAGGTGTTGTACACTTGTTTTTATAGCAATCAAGAAGTGGGAACTACGAGCGTGCATTTGTTTTGATAACAATAAAATGAGGGATGTGTAAGTCTAATGTGACACACTGTTACTCTACAATACTCGTATGAACATTTTGGAAGCTGAAAATGTATAGCTTATGAATATAAAAATAAAGTATATATTTTTTTAATTTCATACATAAACTTATATATAAATATATATTGATACTATAGTATTTTTATTTGTATGAGCACTTGGGTAACTAAGAATGCGAAAATTTGAGAATATAAAATAAATTATTCATATATTTTCATTTGTATGCAAGTATTTTAATTTCAGTGCTATAATTTGTAAAGTTTTGAGTGGGGACGTTAGCCATTATCATTTATATAGCGTTTGAATACTAGTTACTATAGTATGTCAGCGCTATATAAAAAACAATGTTTCCAGCTCTAGCCACGTGGAGGCCTCCCCTATGTAGAGCCACTTTTTTTTTTTAAATAAATAAATTAAGTGTCTACAGCATCTAAAGACAACAGTCTAATCACTACTGCCATAAATGTCCCATGTAAGGCTGACTTGGAGGGTTCGGATACCATGTCCGGACTTGACGAATGACACAGTCTGGCATAATTTCTCTCTTGTAGCCATGTGACTGCCAAACATAGCGTTTCCGACGGGAGTCCCTTTGAATAGCCGCGGATTTTCTGGCTATGTAGCGATCATCTTCCCATACCCCACGGTGACATAGCATGGTC